TTATTTGTGTGTTGGATGGCTTCCTCGGTTGCTGTCCACTGTATATACTGAGGCAGGGTCTCTCTCTTGAACCAAGTTCACCAGTTGGGCTAGTTTAGCTAGTCAGCTTATTCTGAGATCCAGTCTCTAGCGGTCTTGTTTTTGGGGTTACAGCCCGGCCACCATGCCTACCATGTGCTTGCATCGGTGGCTGTGGATGAACTCTTCTCTTTTGCTCTTCTAGCATGCCCATCAAGTGCTTTACCCATATTTTAAATTTTTATTTATGTATATGAGTACTCTATTTGCATGTAAGCCTTGTGACAGAGAGGGCATCAGACAGAAAAGGTCTATCAGATCTCATTGTAGATGGCTGTGAGCCACCATGTGGGTGCTGGGAATTGAACTCAGGATCTCTGGAAGGGCAGCCAGGAAGTCCTCTTAAGTATTGGGCCATCTCTCCAGTACTCACCCTTTCTTTATTTGAGACAGGGTCTCTCACTAGCCTGGGACTCGTTAATAGGCTACCCTTGCTGGCCCAGTGAGCTCTATGGATTTTTGTAACGATGGAAAGCATGGTTGATTTTACTTCAAAGAGTCTGGAGATGAATGAAGGTCTATGGCCTTCATTGAAATCACATAGTCTCTCCTCATGGTCTTAAGATAGCTGGGCTGTCATGGCTCCAAGCATCACATCCTCACCCAAGAGCACTCCAAAGAGAATGAGTAAAAAGGGGAAGAGGGCTTTTTACCAACTGGGCTCAACCCTAGAAATTTTATTCAAGTTGGAGAAAAAGGAGAAAGGAGCTCTTGAACCCAGCTCAGTCTTGTTTTTACATCTCTTTCCTCCTAGAGTAGGGAAGAGGCATGGAGAGAGTATTGACACAGAAATCAGGTGTCAGTGGCTGAGGATGGCTCCCCATTGTCTCCCTTACCCCTCACCCGAGGGCCCTAAAGGTCACTGGTCTTGTTGGCCACATGGGTGAAGTATCTCCCAGGTGACTGGAGGCAGTTGCATGTCACAAGCCTGCCACCTCAGTGTCTTGACAGTTTGTTACTTGAGAAAGACAGTAAGTCGGTACCTGACTGTTCCAGTCTGTTCCTTGCTGTGCCTTGGATCTCTGCCACAATGGGATAGGATAGCCCACCACTGTGTGGAGGAAGGCATTCACTCTTTACACCTTGTCACTCTTGGGGTCTGAAGATTTAATATGTAGTTCAGAGGGGTGGGGACAGCAAGGAACAGATCATAATATGCGTGACACTGCCAGTGACCTGGGTGGTTAGAGGATAAGAGGGGCAGAGGAGAGACTGGGAGAGGGAACAGGAAATACCATGTGAGCCTTCCTGGAGGGAACTGAGTGTAGGACATTGTAGCTGGCCAAGAAGGGTTTCCCAAAGCCCTTGGCCTGGGTCTAGCACAGAGCCAACGTCCACACAGGGCCTGGGTCACTGGTGTTTATACAGAACCCTTGTGTTCATGCCTCCTAAGTTTCACCTATTACCCTGCTGGACGTAAGATAAGGAGGACTTCCCAGGCAGGTGTGGGGAGCATGGAGGGTCTACCCACAGGCAGTTCAAGAAGGGAATGTGGAAATACAAGGGGACCCAGAGCTGGGGGAAAGAGCAGGGCCTGTGAATGCCCTCCTATGGCAACAAAGACCTTCCACTCAGTCCAGAATGTTAGATACGTGGTACATCATCCCACCTACTCAGGGGTCTGCCTGAGCTCTCAGCTGGGATCCCATCTTCCTTGGAAGAGTGAAATAGAGGAAGAAACAAAGATGCCGAGGAACAAGGAAGTTGGCTTGTGCACCCATGGAGGACACAGGGGCAGAGATACGGACTACCAGAGGCTGGGACACCCGTGGAATTGCTGGACTGCATGCCATGTCCATAGTTTGTCTGAATGATTGGGGATGTCACCATGTGATCGCGAAGACACCTCTGAGAGACTGCCTTGACTGATGACCCATTTGACCGATTTGTTACTCACTCCATATTTTGTTAGAAGTACCCATGTTTTAAAAACAAAGTCAAGTTTTGATTTACCCAGCTCTGCTCTTTCTGCAGAAGTATTTGATGGAGGGCACCAGAAGACCTAAAACCACTCATTTCAAACTCAGTGAGTCCATGGCAGAACATGCAGATGAAGATTTCTATACATAGCTTTTTATTTATTTATTTTTCATTGCTTTGAGTATGAGGACAACTCATTTAGCTCACCCTGGGGAGCAGCATGTGCAGAATTAATGTCCCAAATTAGCAAAGGGGCCACCTTAGTGCCAGTCTTCCTTGAGTGTCCTGTACCTGCCCTGCTGCAGGGAGCTGAGTATCGGGGACACAGTTGCATTTTCCTTGATGACCGCCTTGGCTTTGTGCTGCTCTGACTTGGATCCTCACTGGGATCCATGCCTTCCCCTGTAACCAAGTGTGCACATAGCATATGATAGTAAGTCATGTCTTGGAACAGGAGGGCTGTGGAAGATGACTTCTTTGGGGAGACAGGCTCCTGACTCAGCACTCCCCACCAAGAACCACCAGCTTGTATAAGCATACCAAGCTAATACCTCTGAAATATACCCCAGGATCACAGGACCCCACATGGACAGGTGAGGTTGTCTCTGCTATTGTCTAATGCTGCCTAAGGCTGGAATAGCTTAGGGATATCCTGTGATGGGTGTGTTCTTGTGGCATGTTAGATACTAAATATTCTGAATAAAACATGGCCTTGGTGACCTCTGTGTTTTGAGCTTGAATCGCTTGTATAGGAGTGTGGCTGGAGATTTATTTGCCCTTCCCCCTCTGTCCATGAGTTGACTGGTTTCTGATGAATGGCCCTTAAAACCCCAAGGGTGGTACTCATCTGAACTAAGGTCACAAAGAGTAAAGGAGCCTTCCAAATAGAACATTGTCTTCAACTCTCACAAGCAAAACAAAATAACATATTTGGGAGAGACAAATTACCCATGTGGCCTTATTATCCACTGCTCTTGGACTTAATGTTTGAGAGCTAATATTATGTTCAGAATAAACCATATATTTACTATATCCATTGTGAACAGTATGTCAAAATCAGTGAACCTTTCCTCCTTGTGGCTCTAGGAATCAAACTCAAAGCCTCTCAGGTATTAGGCAAATGTTCCCCTACTGAGGTACATCTCCAAGTCAATGCTTTTTGTTTTTAAAACCATTTAAAATAGTATGTGTGTTCACCATTTCTTTCCTTTAAAGAGATTTGCCCTTTTAAGAAAAAAATTATTATGTATATTATTCTGCCTGCATGCCTTTGCCAGAAGAGGGCACCAGATCTCATTATGGATGCTTGGTAGCCACTATTTGATTGGTGGGAATTGAACTCAGTACCTCTGAAAGAGCAGCCTGTGCTCCTAACCACTGAACCATCTCTCCAATCCCAATTTGTCCATTTTTTATCTTGCATTTCAAAGTTATAAGGTCATTGCTGGGGAGATGACTTGGTGGTCACCTGCTTGCTGCAAAAGCAGGAGAACCTGGACGCCAGCACTCACGAGAAAAGGAAAAATGTGGGCACCTATAATCTTCAGTGCTGAGGAGGTGTAGACAGACAGGTGCCTGGGGCTCACGGGCCAGCTAGTCTAGCCAGTTGTCAAGATCCTATGTAAGTGACAGCCCCTGACTCAAAAAATAACATGGGGAGTAAAAGAGGGAGACCAATAGAGGCCAACTTCTAGCCTCCGTGTGCATATATACACATATACACTAACTCCCACCCCCACTCACAAAGGGCTCCAAATGTCTCAGGAATGCTAATATCCAAACCAAAACCCTGAACGGGGACAGCAACATACTAAAGGACAGAGAGTGAGTTACTTAGCCTCAGCCTAAAAGGATGTGGCCTCCAACAACAACCAAACAGCCACTCCAGAATGAAAATACTGGTGTATTTATGTAATGCAAAGAGAAGTACAGATAGAAATCTTCAAAACGCAGGTTACATTAATAAAAACATAGCAGTTTAAGCCAAAAGTATTATACAGTACTTGCAATGTAGTCCTTCAGTTCCAAATGACAATGTCTAACAAAGAGATAGTAATTTAAATTATAGTTCATATTAATCATTTACATCAGCCATCAATAGAACAGCACCACCTAACTCAGCAAACACTGCAGGAAAAGGTTTTGTCTCCTGGGAGAGGCACCATTATATCCCATTTCTTTTTACCAAGGACAAAAGTCTTCAGAGTGAAAATCATCTTCATAAGACAGAGCAAAACTGGGCTTATCAAAGCACAAGCCATTTCCACAAAAGTATTTTAACTTTTTACTGGGGACAATAAAACAAACCCAAACCCCAAACCCAAACCAACCGGTGGTTCTTTGCCCTCCAGAGCCCTCCCAATCCGCAAATCACGATCAGTACAAACACATGCAATACTGTTTTTTTTTTCTCTCCACATTACTATCCAAAACACTGTTTAAAAGTCACAGTCTCACAGAAAGATTTCGTTCAAGAGTGATATACAGAGCAGCTGTTGCTGATGTGTAGTTTTTAAAGTAATATAAACAGGGCTCCAAACCTTGCTTGTTAAGAGACTCAAAAGTGACTGCCTTCCTACCCATTCCCATTTCTTCTTATTAAAGTTTAGTGTCACCGCTGGGAGAAGTTCCCCACACTTCCAAAGAAGGTACACAGCACACCTCGTCCTGTGGCCTGAGATTCAGAGGGGACGTTAGACATCTCCGTCTCCCTCTTCCATATCCAATAGAAGATCCCCTAGCTTGCTTTCTCCTCCACTGTAATGCAAAGGTAATGCCACTTGAGGTTGTCAAAAATAGCTTCTGTAGAAAACTGGCCATGGTCTCTAGGAAACTTTGCATGAGTAAAACCAGTGTAGCCTTTATTTAAAAAAAAAAAAATCACACGTGGAAGAAAAGAAGTCGGCAACAGTACAAAAAAGACTGCAGGGCCTACCGCCAGGAAGAAAGTATAATTAGAAGGACGGAACTGGACCACGGCATCCCCTCCCCCGCCCCCAGAACTGGAGTCTGTACAATCCAAGTGCGTGTGTCCACTTTTGAGAGTCTTGTGAAGGCAGCGGAGAAAAACCAGACACGGGACATTAGGGGAAGAAGGGCGGTCACAATTGAAGCCAGAGGGAGCCTGGGTGGCAGAGCGCGCCTCACAAACCAATGCCTTTCAGGTCGCAGGGGAGGGTGGCCTGTGTAGCCTGGGGGCTCTGGCAGCAGGGAAACTGGGCTCTGAAACAGTCCCTGAGCTCCCGGTTGAATAGGAAGCACACCACAGGGTTGATGCCAGCCTGCGCGAAAGTCAGCCACACCGAGGCTGTCAGGTAGGCCTGCGGGACAGCTCCCGGCTGCACCAGGACACGCAGGTAACTGGCCACCACATAGGGCCCCCAGAGGAGCAGGAAGAGCAGCGTGATGGCATAGAACATCTTGCACAGCCTCTTCTCCGTCTTGAACTCCTCCAGCACCAGGAGGCGCCGGGCGCCGCGGCCCGGGCCTGCAGGCCTGATGCCCACCAGCGCGGGTGGCGTGGGCCCGCGGCCGAAGCCCGCCGTCCAGTTGGCAGCCGCCTGGCCCGTGGCTCCCGGGCCGTGGAAGGTCCAGTCGTGGCTGACGGCAGGCACCAGGCGCGCGGGCCGCATCTTGCGGCGGTCGTGGATGAAGAAGAGCAGGCGGAGGTAGACGAGGTGCGTGGCGCCCACCACTGCGGCCAGCAGCAGCAGGAAACCTAGCGCTCCCGGGGCGCCGTCGGGCCGCTGCTCCAGGGCACACGGCGCGTCCTCGTCGTCCGCGCCACCGCCGTCCAGCACCGGCGGGAAGGCCGCGGCCAACGCTAGCGCCCAGGCGGCGCACACCAGCATCGCGGCGCACGGCCAGCCGGCCAGGCGCTCGGCGTAGAAGCGGTGGTGCGCGATGGCCAGGTAGCGGGTGACGCCCACGCCGAGAAGCAGGAAGGCCGCGTGGAAGCAGAAGAGCGCGGCTAGGAAGGCCAGCAGCTTGCAGCCCAGCGCGCCCGGTGGCGTCCCCGCCGCGGCCGCCGCGCGCCGCGCCGCCAGCATGACGGCCGGGAGGCAGGCGAGCGCGCGCAGCCCGTCGGCCAGGCACAGGTCGAGCAGCAGGTAGTAAGGCGCGCGGTGCAGGCTGCGCTCCCGCACGATGAGCAGCGCGAACAGCACGTTGCCCGCCAGGCTCACGCACAGCAGCAGGCTGAGCGTGGCCAGCCTGAGGCCCAGCGCGGCAGCCTCGGCCCCGCCGCCGCCGCCCGGCTCACTAGCGTTCGCCATCGCGGCCGCGCTCCTCCCCGCCGGCCCTCGCCGCTCGCCGTAGGCCGCCCCGGGCCTGCGCTCCGCCGCCTGAGCTCCCCTGGCCCGCGGAGCTGTCAGCCCGCGCCCGGCCGGCCCTGCCCCGGGGGCTCCGCGCGCCTCGGCCGCGCCGCCGCCATCTCAGCCGCGGTGCGCGCGGGAGGCGACGGCCACTCCCTGCGCCCTGGGCGCGGCGGGCTTCACTGCAGCCAGGCCCGCAGCCCCCCGCATGCTCCGCGTCCTCCTCTCGGTCCTCTTCTGCAGCCGCGCCTCTTGGCTCTGCCCCCCGCCAGGCCCGCCGCTGCCGCCGCCGCTGCCGCCGCCTTCGCCACCGCCTTCGCTGCCGCCGCCGCCGCCGCCGCCGCCGCCGAGCCCCCTCCCCTCCGCCGGAGCGCGCAGCGTGGCCGCCGCCGCCAGTCCCGCCGAGGCATCCCGCGCCGCACCGGGCCTGGTTGGGCTGGGGGCGCCGTTGCGACAGCCGGGAGGGGAGGCAGGGCCCAGGACGCGAGGTGGCGACAAGTCGCGTTTGGCCCCAGGTAAACGGGGGTCCGGCGGAGGTGGCATCAGGCGCCAGCTCTGGGGTCACTGTGGCCGGGAGCTGGGGACACGGTGGCCTGGGGTGGCAGGGTCTCGGAGGCCTGGGGGAAGAGGAGGCAGGGATGTCTGGGAACCTTCTGTTGAAAAGCTGGTAATGATGGGCAGCAACATAACGGGGTAATCACAGAACACTGATACCCAGGTGAAGCCTGATGTGGGCGGCAGCCCGCTGGGGACGAGCATCCTCTGCCACCACCAACCCCCAGCAACAACTGCAAAGTTGTTGGTGTTCCAAAACCCATCAGATACCCCAGGAAGCCTAGGTTTAGAGGGCAAGGGAGTCCAGAGCCAGGAAGTGGCCCAGTTGGGTTCTCAATTTTACTTAGTCCTATTTCCAGGACTGGACTTTCAGGCATCCTCAAGCATGCTTGCTTTCTAACTCTGAAGTGGAACCTGAGCCAAGCGTGTACCACAGAAAGAAACGAGGATTTTTCCTTAAGTGATGCCCGACTTTCCTGGCCTATCCATTTCCTGGGTTAGTCTGAAATGGCCAGTCCCGTGTTCTGGTCCTTAAACATCTTTGATCCTGCTGGGCCCACTGTTGTCTGCATCAGCTTCACAAACGGGCTCTTATTCTGAAGGTTTTTGGAGCAGCCTAACTACCTTTCTGTCACTGGCTTCTGTTCATCTGCTTCCTGGCACTTAACTGTTGCCCATCATCTGTTTTTACTTCTCAAAATCCTGTCCATCTAACTAGTCCCTAAATATTGTGCATGTGTGTGTGTGGGGGGGGGGTTCATGAGTGTGTGTGTGTGTTTCTATCACTACCCTCATTGCTTAACATGGTAACACCAGATTTAAGGGCTGTGTTGTCTTTCAGATATACTCATTTTTTTTTTTTTTTTTTTTTTTTTTTTAGAAAAAGTCTACATGAACAATAGGCCTCTTGGTGGGCATTCCTAAGATCTTATCACAGAGTCAGAACTTAGCCTGTGACAGAAAAGGGATGCCAAACTGCGCTGGAGAAGGGGAGGGTGTGAGGAGAGCTTCGATAAGCAGGGTTATTTTACCAGCAGGGGTTAAGAGGGATAACAAACATCTTTGTGGTGGGGTGGCGTGTACCTGTGGTCTTGGCACCCAGGATCAGGAGGATGGCAAATTGAAAGCCAATGTGAACAACATGACAAGTCAAAGCCAGAGAGAAGAACCTGAACGTTAAGTCCGGAGCCCCATACCTTGCATTTGGAAATCACTGGGGATACCCCTTAAAATGCAGTTTTCACTCAGTATGTCCAGAATGGGCCTAGATGGTGACACCAATATTGGCCGTTGGCCCCATTGTGAATGGCAAGGCCTTTAAATACAACTGGGACATTTTTGCAGAAATCTAAAGGGAATCTTTCTTGGCACTCCTGAGTGGTCAAGGGGAAGTGGCTGACTTGGTAGTCCTATAAATAAATATGACAGAAAAGGAGCAGTGTGTTTGGGAGGGTGTACTGGTTAGGAATTGTGTTGTGATCATGGTAGCAGAGACAAGTTTGGAGGTGAGTGGTTGCTGGTGTTGGGTATTGGCCCAGAGACCGAGTCTGTGGAAGTATTTCCCTACCCTCATGATTTCAGTGGCCCAGTCAGAGACCGAAAGAGGGAAAGTGCAAGTATTCCTGGCATGTAGGTTGGCCGCCTTTGAGTAGCTTTCTAGAAGACCTACACCATAGCAAGAACAATGTGATGGACTCCCACTCACAGTGAGAGAATGGGAAAGAGTTCTTTTTCTTTGTTGCATAGCCCTAGACAATGAGATCTTGGCACCACGTGGGCTCTGCTTGCCCAGAGAAGCAAATTCCTTACAGTCCGTGAAGACTCCATCATTGGTTTCTTTGGGTTGAGCACCCAGATGCAAACTGTGTTAAATAACAAAGTGTTACTTAATGTCATAGGCATGGTTGTGTGCAGTATGTATGCTTACAATCTCTACTTTGCAGATGAAGCAGTGTGTACATGTTGAGTGTACATGTATGTGTACATGTGCGTGCATGCGCACATGTAGGGCAGAAAACAACCTAAAGGTGTTTTTGTTTTTGAGACAGGATCTCCCACTCTCCCACTGGCTTGGTGCTTGCAGAATAGACTGGGCTGCCAGGCTAGCTGGCCCCAGGGATCCATCTTTCTCCTCCTCCTTAGCACTGGGATTCCAAGCAAACCTCGATGTACCTGGCTATTTTATTTTAGCATGGGTCTTAAGGATCAAATTCAGGTCCTTCTTCAAGGCGAGTACTTTAGTAACTGACTGAGCCATCTCTTCAGCCCCAAACTCTGACTCTTGCGATGAGAAAGACTGAGTTTATAAAGACAACCAACAGTAAACAGCAGGTGCTCAGGACAGAGAATGATAGCTCCTTGAAGGGGAGAAGGGCTTTTCAAAACCAGCTAATCTAACACTGAGGTCTTACAGACTCATTCATGGCTGAGTGAGAAGTAGGGCCCAGGTCCTCTTATTCCAGGACAGGCCCCTCCCCACTGAGTTGGAATATTGATAGCATTTGTTGTTATGAATATAAATCACTCAACAAGTCATTTAACCTCTTGAAATCTCGAATGTTCACATTTACAAAATGGGGTATTGATTTCCTAGGGTCTCTGAGTCTGCAGTTTAGTTTGTATGTGAGGAAAAAAAAAATGGAGTTTAAATGGGTTTGTTTCCCAAATGGAGAGAGCTAGTCTTCAGAGAAGGTGAGGAAAAAGAATCTATAGCTCCCTTGTGATTTATATGTAAAAAATATACTTATATTTTTATATTTATAATATATATTATGTATAAAATATATTTTTCTATTTTTTTCTACTGCTATCTATTTAATCTGATGCCCTTCTCTTTGGGATCTGAGGTTTGGTTTAATCATTTACCTCGAATCAAATATGACCAGCAGCAGTAGGACATGTAAGTCATGACTGTGGTAGCATTCATTTGTCTACAGCTTTCCTTCTCAGCATCTGTTCAATAGATTAATACTTAAGGAAAAGCCATTAACATTTCATTGGCCAGGATCAACTTGTATTCTTTTTACTTCAGGCAAGGCTTTAAAATATTTTCTTAGGCACCAAGTTGAATGTCTCACGTTAGAGGCAGATGAGATTTTTTTCCAATAAAATTTTCCATTTTGTTTATAAGTAACTCTTTTCTTTTGCATAGTGGTAGAAGAGTTGGAAAACCCTCTCCATCACTTATGCCACCTCTTTGATGCACATGGTGTGACTGGTAATATAAACCAGCCTGCTTAGAGGGACTGGTTGGCACACTTTGACACATACAGCTGTGGCCATGGGTCCCATCATCCTGGTAGCTATTTTGGCTACTGCCTCAGATTTCTGACTGGTCATTTGCTTGTGGGTACAAGAAATGCCAAGTTGGAAAGATTGCATTGACACCTCCATCATGAGTCTTCAAAGCAGTGAGGCAGAGTTTAGACCCATTGGATGTTGGGTTATCAGATCATAGCACTGGGCTGCTCTGTGGCAGTCAGCCATACCTTCAAGAATGCAAATGGTCTTTGGAATTAGATATGCCCTGGCTCACACCCAAATCAGTCATCGTCTATGCACCCCTGGGAAAGTTCTTTTTATCCTGAACCTCTGAACCTCTGAATCTCAAAGGCCTGTTATAAGGAAGAGTCAGTTAAGTGAGACCTACTAATAGGAAACAAGACATGAGGTATGCATATGGGTGTCATGTAATTAGTGATTGCTGAAGATGATGACTGGGGACAGATGTGTCAGGTGACTTCTCCACTCAAATGCTCATCCCTCAGCCTAGCAAACAACAATGACTGGAGACAGGAGCAGTTTGATCCCAACTCACCAAATACCAGATAAGACAACCTATATCTTTTCACATAGTAGCTTGAATGACCATTATAAAATATGTGCACCAGACTTGTGGTACTTTTTTCTTTTAGATTTATTTATTATGTATACAGTGTTCTGTCTGTCTGTATGACTGCACACCAGAAGAGGGCACCAGATCTCATTACAGATGGTTGTGAGCCATCATGTGGTTGCTGGGACTTGAACTCAGGACCTCTGGAAAAATAGCCAGGGCCCTTAACTGGTGAACCATGTCTCCAAGCTTCTCCAAAGGGGTGCCATGAAACCTGGGGCCACATTATCCCACCAGCAAGGCAAGACAGCAACAAAAACAGAAGTTATGTTTTAAGGAGCGATTTTTTTTCTCTTGATTCTCTGGATTTATCTCCATGTTTGTAATGCAAATACTGAAAACATACTGTGTGATAAGGTGCCTTGAGTTTGTGTTGGGGTAGCTACAATTAGTTAGTGTGCCAGTCAGGTAATGTGACATGACATGTACAGTGGTCACTGGTTTCATTGCAAATTCATAGAGACGAAGTTGGTTAGGGAAGAAATTGGAGCAGGGCTGGGCATGGCTATAGCTTTTGTTCATAGTGATGGAAATTTCCTGAATTAGGTAATGTGGATAGTTGTATAATCCCATGAATAGCCCAAGAAAACAGAATTGCAAATAATACAAAATAAAACCCAATTTGTATTAAAGTAAAATCAGCACTATGACCTTATTAAAGGATGGATAGTTGTCCAGAAGTGATACACACTTCTACTCATAGTTTTCTGAATGAATGTCAGTCTGACTTCTGGAAATGGCCACAGAAGCCAGTCACATTTTCCATATGGTCACACATATAGGTTAGCCTCTTATGTGGGCTTCAGGATTTGTAGCAGGAGAATACTAATGTGAGTTTTGGAGAAC